CGCATTTACAAACCCAAGCAACACAGCTACCTACGTTTATGGATCCACATATATGAGAATCCTATTATACTACTGCACATTTCTTGATCAACTGTTATACTGTTACTATGATCCTGCCTTCAATGGCGTGCTTCGCGTAGCCGAGAATAAAAAGTTATTTATTTATTTATACAATTGATGTTAGTAAGTGCTGAAATTAAGGCTATGGGTGTTGGTATGTAACAGTCGCGGACGTCTCGCTGGAAGGTCGGGGCATACTGCATCCGTAGAGCCTTGGCTGCCTCTTCGGCGCCGTGCCGCTCTGACTGTCGTGCTAAGTGGGAGGATAGCGTGCTCCACTTTCCGATTGGTGTGAATATACTTACATAGGAGCTTATTGTAGTTGGCAGTTAAAATACAAATATTATTGATGAGTCCACTTTGTCCTCACGGGCCAGCGTATTACAATGGTTGTGCTTAGTAACCTAGTCGCTCTAAGTTTCGGGACCAGGACGGGCTCTGTATGTGTACCAAGCTGCATTCCTTAGTGATACGCCTTTTAGTGTTCTGCTTCCGATGAACGATGATGCATTGATGAAACGATCCCTCTTACTTTCTTAAGCTGTTGCGATCAGGTTGATGACGCGTTCAAACAACTGAATTTAGACGCTGTCAACGGAGCCACCTTTAAAAAATTCCCAATCGGTCGTCGTAACTAGCCCATTTTACAGGCATGTTAGCGCACCGTACCAAGATTTTAGCTTAACACATTTTCGAAACCGCGTGCTGTACATCCAAGTTAGCGGGGTTAAAAACGCTGTTTTGACGTCGTTAACGCTCTCACTGGTCATGGGACGTTAGCCAATGGGACACCGGTTGGAAGCGCCAAACAAAATCGACGGACAGTCTAATGAAACTGGTCGAGCACCACCATCTGTGCTGCCCTGATGCGCGTCTGAAGGAAACCCTGATGATTGCTCTCCAAACTGAAACCGTCCAATGTACAACTTGTGGTGACTGTCTAAGGAGGAGATCCTAGATACCAGGTGATCCGATGCTTAAGCCGTAACCAGTGTGAACAGACATACGACAGACATACCACCACATGAAACGGTCTATACGTATTGATCGCTAGCCGCTAACTTGTGTTGACTTATTTCAGCGGCCTAACCATGGTTAGGATGGTGGCGTAGACAGACATTATGCTAACTGGTATTCCGCAGTTTCTCAGGTCTGAGGGAGTCAGGCAGGCATGCGATGCGGTTGTTCAGGCACGCGCCGTCGCAAGGACACTGCACAGCCAAAGCTGAATCAGCAATGGCTACGAGGCGGTTGGAAAATTTGTGAGATTGTTATTGCGACGACCGTGGCGGATATTGTTCAAATTGAAGTTGTTAAAACAACCTAAACCAGAACACGGAATGTTCTACGGGTGTTTAGATCTACAAGAGTTCAGGAATAAACACAAACAGGAAACTCACAGTGTGGTGATAACACGATATTAGTGAGTGTTCGTTTGTCTCCAAACCCATGGGCCGCTTGGTTAATCAGTTATCGCTTCAGTGTCAAGTGGTATGGAGTTACTTAAAGGTCATAGGAAGGATGCGAAACCTATGTATTCATAGGATAATTAGGCTTTACTTCCATACGCTCGTCCATAGGTGTTGAGACGATTTGACAAGTGGCTCTCCAACTAGCATCATTAGAAGCATAGACAATACAGAAGAAACCCCCGGATTACGCCCATGGGCTGCAATGCTATCCTCATGAAATCGGCATTAATCAACAAAGAAACACCTAAACGGGCTACAAAGACTACCGTATTTCTACATGCCACGTACTGCAAGAATAAACGCCAAGATCGATAATTAGTGGCGACGCACGCATTTTACTCTGGTAATTCAGGTGAGTACTTGAAACAGATAAACACTGTTGTCTCACCCACGGGCGTTACTACAACATGTTTGCAGTCATTTACAAAGGCAACCGCGTCCACTAATCCCGCTATGGACCACTGTTTCAGCCAGTCTTAGAAGCACTCATGTATGCACGCCGTGACATGTGTTGTTATTGACTTGGCGACTACTCGGAAATATTTTGTCGTTGGAAAGTAGGTAATTCCGGGAGGCATTGTTGAAGGAGGGAAATTGCTTTCACTGCCTACGCAGTGCTTGTTGGCCGGGCATATCAGGGTCACTTGGTATTTCAAGTTTATCAATCCCATGGAAGTGAAATGTAAATATCATGTCGAAACGAATAATTGACATGCACCTTACAACCTTTACATAGCGGCAGATGCATGGGTACTGAAGCCGTAACTGATTATTGAAGTGGCCCACAGGTGTGGAGACGAACGAACACTCACTAGTATCGTGTCACCACCACGTTAGGACAATGGTTACAGATCCAATGATGCTCTTACCTACTCAGCGAACTTGATCTTACTATTTAATGCACCGACTACATCAGCACTACGTAGCTGCACTATTCGCATGAGTGCACGGCCAAATGAAACAACACAGCAGGGGAACTATGCAGCTGTAGAGGATTTACAATTTATGTTTGCGAACAAGTCCCAGCTTTACCTCCTTCATACGAAGTAGCTTATTGTTTCCGATGACCTCACATTGCCCTGACAATCAAATGCATTTCCTAAACGAAACTGCACACGTGTCGATTCTCCAGATTTCTCGCAGTGGCATGACTACACTATGCGTACCGTATCACGTGTGGCCAGATAGGCAAGCGAGCAAGGAGGGCAGCCCGTACACTCCACCCGTAAGCCTTCAACGGTTCTCTTTCAACAGCCTGCAAGCGTTGCAGCCTCAACACAATCCGCTTCTTATTACTACTCCTTTAGATGTCATCTCACCCGAGTGGAAATGAAACATACGCCAGACTGGCTTCATGACTAGTCACGTATTATGTCTCCGGTTGGCTGACCACCCTCGACACCGTAGAAGTGTGCTGGCACACCGGTTGCGATCAACATATAGGCTACCGACCAACCGGGCCAATCGTACAGCGAACCCGCAAGCCTGCTACCTGCCTGCAGGTAGTTTTAAACAAGATGACAATCGTTTCGAAAAGTGCTCTTGATTAAAACTGTCGTCACATTCCTTGCCGCACCAATGCGCGCCTGAAAGAAAGCCGAGGCGTTCTCTCTGAAGTTAAACCGTCCAATCGACATGACCGCAAATTTCCGTCCGACTGCACACACGCACAGCGTCACACTTGTGACTCTTCCCTTTGGTGTGGCCGCAGACTCGACTCCAAAGTGGACCGCGTGGTACGCAGCGGACCAATGTGTTCGCAAGCGCATGAGAAGTTTACTCGGCTACGAGTGCGGATGAACAGATAAAACCACTAATTGAAGCGATCGATAATACTGGTTCACCAGCCGTTTCATTGTCGTGCTATCGTTCAACAGAGTGTCGATGGGTACGATGGTCTGGTACTGAGCCATTGTGGCAACACGTATTACACAGCGCATGAGCTGTTGAGGAATCAGCAACGCATGCAAGCGCTGCTGGCCTATCGCGCACGCCATAGGATAGACAGTGCGCACTCAGCCTAGGCAAGAAAGAGCACGCGCTAGGTTGATTTATCAATTTCTGCTTTGCGGTTGGCTAACCTACCTGTAGAGAATTCCAGGGGACCCTTGGAGGATAAGGGGTTTTAGTGGGTTGCCATATCATGAGCAACAAAATTCATTTAATATTTTGCTGTGTTGGCAGACACATGGAAGTTGGGCCAATCAGTCAGAACTCCGAAATTAGCCAAAGAACACCCGTCGAATTTGCACAGATTGAAGAATATACCAAAAGAAAAAGTTTGATGCACAATTCACAAGAAAAAAGCACGTCTAACAAAGTAATCCCGAAGAAAAGTTGGAGTCCAGCACCGTAATCCAAAAATCCGCGGCGTCCGTGGGTACATCTGTTTGTTCGGCAAGCAAGCCAGCGAGAGCATAGATCACTAAGCAGTTATGCTTCTCATCTACATTCCCATTTCTTTTGAGAGCCATTCTAAAGTATTGATACTTCTATCCCTCTCAACACGCGACATATGCATCAGCTATTTGGACTTTCTTCTTCTCGAAGTATCGGAACAGGAATATCATGAGTAGATAGCTTACAGTATGGTTGCTAATGTCAGACCAACAATGCTGGAACCTATTACAAAATATTCATCATCGCACAAGAGCCAGAGCCCTTCAACAAATCCCAGGTTGACCTAGTTCCACGTGGTAAAGTTCAGTTGATTAGAGCAACGTTGAGTTCTGAAGTATTTTGTGGGAATGCGTCTCAAACGCCTCGACTTTTAAGTCCTTTGTCCAAAGGTAAGTACTATGCGGCTAACGTATGGTTTATGTTGATCCCCAAAAATATGGATGGTAGTGACAGGCTGGTGATTGTTTAACCTGTTACCCCTAGATTAGTGGCCGCACTCAAGAGATGCTATGATGATACTTATCTATCAGAAGGTCTTTGATAAATTTGCCCAAGAAAGTGTACTGTACCTAGTAGGAAATCTAGTATTGAGTTGAAAGACTTGAAAAGTACACGAAACTTGCATCAGTACTGCTTTCGTTTTCAATGGCTAGGACTGTACGACTAAGAGCACGCGTTTGTTTTCCACACAGGGACCATTTAGTAATGCAACCAGCCAGTCCCCGCAGCGCACACACAGGAGGGGCGCTTGAGAGGTGTATATTGGACGAAACCATCCGCATGGGAGCCAAAGGCGCCGACTGTCCCTGAAGGAGGATAAGCCCAAAGGAATGGTTAAACTCCAATTTAGAAAGAGAAACTGTTGAAATAGGCTTGGTAACGGCAGAAATTCATGCAAGGCAAAAAGTAAGTGTCATTAAGAAATAGCTATTAAAAGCATGACTGAGAATTATGAAAGTTACTAAAAGACGAAACGAAATGTCATATTACACCCAAAAAATGGGTGTTGGCGAGTCGGAAGGAAGGAAGCAAAACAGAGTAAGAGATCAAAAGCAGTAAGCATCCTTCCTATTGGCTGGCACGCTCGCGCATCTTATCCAGCAGTTGTATGAGTTGCACATCAAATCGGGGTCGCTTTCCAGGATCCTCCTTCAGACATAGTTCGATTAAGCGAGCCACACGTGGATCCAAATGGGGAGAGATTGGCAACCGTAAATTTTCAGTGGTGATCTGTAACACAGAGAACAACTTTACTGCGAAATAGGAGCCGGTGATGGAAATGCGGTCAAAATGAGCAAATAACAGAATTCACAATGTGTTTGCCAAGCCTCAGAAAGCATGTCACGCAAGTAAAAAAACTAGCTAATTACCCTCGGTGGGATACCACTTTGGTGGATAATGCGATAGAGTGCAGCTCTGCAGCTTTCCGGAAGCCTAACATCCCAAGGTCGAGCGTTGTGTGTCAGGATTTGTCATTTAATATGTCATCTAACAAGCATGCAGTGAAGTCGCTCATGGATCAAGTGTGTTGACATCCTCCACTTAGGTGTGAATGGGTAATGAACTAAGATCAACAACACTTTGCTACATCGTATTGTATATGGCGATGTTTTGCTAACGCCTGGATCAGTATTAGATAAAGTGTATGATGCGCAGGAAAACTCCGTCGCCATCTGTCGGCATCAAATGACCCTGTAACGATGCGATACCTATATTCGAGTCTCGTAAAGAGTGTGCAAATCAGTCTGGCACTTGCACATTTATCTTCAAAACAACGGGAATACCGGTGGATATGTGTTATCAGCGAGTAAGTAATGTGAGTCGGCTCTAAAATATAGACGCTTCGCGGCGTGAAATGAGCTCGCGAAGCTGGCAGACAAGGTGAACGGAATAAACGCGGAGCCAGTAAATATAACGCGAAGTAAGCGTCACTCATGCAAACTGGTCATAATTGTATGGGATGGAAGAAGAATGTAGGATTGATTAGGGATAGCAAGGAGCGAAGTGTGGTTCCATGCAGAGGGTGGGATAGTGCGGATAACAGTGAGAGAACAGTGAGCGAGTAGGAATGAACCGTAGTTACTGGTACAGGGTGAAAAAGTGGCTGGTAAAGCTAGACGAGCGGAATCGACGCGCGACCAGTAATACATAAGACAAGTTTGTTACACACGCGAAATGACTACAAGGACAAAGGCCAGATGGACAATGGGACTGTGTGAGCGAAGATGTGGATTAATTGGAGTAGTAGCAAACAAACAGAGAGCGTGGGTCGATGAATTGGAAGAGGCGCCATTAGAATGCCAAGAAATAGCTACGAACGGATAGCGATCCAAATAACTACATGGTATAACAAACCATGATAACTGGTTCTTTGTCGCATCCCACCAAATCGGCATGTTGTTCTTTTGCTGCAAACAACCGAAAACATAATGTGCGTTGCGTTATTGGCGCAGTGAGTGAGTGCCGAGTACAGCACACAGTGACACCTGGGATTGGTATGGTCGGCCCCATGACTTCAGATGGCATGCTGTCGTATCGATATGAATGGTCAAGTGGGTATCGCTACAAATGTCGATAGTGTATTCAGTGCGAGACATACTTAGGCAGAAAGACATACATGCATTTTCCGGATTTCTCTAAGGCTGTGCGTGACGAGTTTCAAGCAGATCCCAGTGGCGCTCTGTAATCACACAGTGAGCTGAAGCTGCTCCTCACCGCCTTGGGGATCAGATCATCAAGCAGTCACTCAAGCAAACGTCCATGTACCCTTCTGCCTCGTAAATCAGAATGTCGAGCCAAGACCAAAAGGTAGAGCACTCAGAACAAACACCCGATCTCGGAATGAGTAGTAGGAGAGTGTCATCAGTCGATAAAACCCCGTCGTCAATAGTATTATTTCGCTGTCTTTCGTCCCCTAAAAACTCCATCTCCCCGTTTGTTAAACAAACGAATGCCGCTGACTTCGCGATTAATGCTATTGATGCAAGTAATGCATGGTTCAAACCAAGAGTCTCATTTCACATTTCTTCGTCCAACCTCCGACTCTTTGCCAGATCGGCCAAATGGAAGCACTAACTCACTAACCCTCTTATTCTTGTTGTATCCGAAACACATATACAAAATGCCAGTGTCGTAGCTGTTGTATCAAGAAGGAAACAGAAAGAGCAGAATGTGTATCGGTAGTCAATTCCGAAGTACACAGTACAGTCGATCCCGCCTTATTGCCCATCTTCGGGATATTACAAAAGTGGGCAATTAACAGATCTTGCCACTTTCCCAGAAGGGAAACAACCATTAAATTGTTGTGCAGTATATCACTTGAATTGTGACCTGCTAAGAAGGGTAGAATACATACTTGTAATTAAAGCCTACACAAGACGTTTGTTCAGAAGAGCGTGACATATAATTTAAAAATTATAGCATAAAGCATCACCCGGATAGCTATAGGAACTGGCGCTACTGTATATCTTTACTGATAAAACAATCCAACGTCAGTTGTACATTATTTTGAGATGATACTCCAGGCACTTTTTCACCGATGAAGTCCAATTTGGACAAGAAATCGTTACCTAGCCCTTGCAGAAGTCCGTAGTTATGCAGATCATTCACAGTTCTTTGCTCTTGAATGCGACACACGCTGATTGCTGTTACTCACGCAGGCATCCGGCACGTCATCCTCTGAGTCGCTGCCTTCTTTCTGTTTTAGTCGGTTCTCTAAAATGTTACTGACGATTTCATCTTCAACAGTTGTTAGATCTGAGGTACATACCACATCGTTGTCAATGGTGACGAATTGTTCTGCATTGATGGATGGGATTGTGCAGCCGCTGATCTCGTTCTCAGTGATGACGATGTCATCAGGAAGTGCATCGGATGCCAATCAACTGAAGCCAGTATGCCGAAAGCAAGCTTTTATTGTTGCACGATAACCTGTCTCCAACTTTTTGAAACGAACTCACTTGTATCGTTCACAGAAATCTTGACGCTGACATCCACCGCTGATGATGAGCCAGATAACACGTTGTTTTCGATGTGATAAAGAACTCGGTCCACAATTTCCTTTCTGCAACGGATTTCCGGGTTCATACTCACACCATAGTCTATGGGCTGAAGAATGCTGACCGTGTTTGTCGGCAAAAATTCCATTTAAATGTTTTTCTGAACTATTACCTGTGGATACGCTGTGCAATCATCAAAGAGCAACTTAAATTTTCGGCCAATTTGGCCTAGCTCCTTGTCCCACACGACGACTACTTGGTGAAAAGTTCCTTCGTCAGCCACGCACTTTTGTTAGATCCGTAAATTAGGGGAAGTGTGTCCACGCTATTAAAACATCGTGGTTTCTTACTTGTTCCAATCAAAACCAGTTTTCTTTTATTTGTGCCTGACACATTTGCGCAGCATAGAAGAGTGATCCTATCTATGGCATTTTCGATCTGCTGAGTTTGTCGGCATAAAACACAAACAGCCCTCTGGAGTTACTCAATAAAAAGGTCAGGTTCGTCTACATTGTACATGTTGTCATCATCAGATGCAATTAAAAGTTCAGGAAGTCGATCGTTCAGCCAATTTACACAAAGTGTTTTGTCTGTGGAACTCATTTCGCCATGCGCACGTTTATACACAAATTCGCTCTCTATTCTTCCAGCTTTGCAAACATCCTACTGTGGTAGCAAAGATATTTCCATCGTTCCCCGAATTCTTCTGCCCTTTTATTCAGAAGCGGGCTTGTAACTGTTTGGGTGTACTCATGAACCGATATCATCCGGTTTTGCCAAGTAGTTTCCACTTCTTCATCCTTTCCACATCGTTTTCTTTTCTGAGACCTTGTAGTGTCACGCGACAAGTTCTACCGGAGTTCCTTTCTGCCGGCAATTAACCTGACTAGGGCACGATGAAAACTACGTAAATCCCTCGAAAACTTGGCTTGGTGGATAAATTTTAATTTTGTTCAAAACGTCCAAGTTTTCTGTTAAGGGCAAATGCTTTCCGTTACTGGCCATACTTCTGTGCAACCAATAGATTACCCGACTTTTCTCAGTTCACGAGTTTTGAATAGGGCCAAAGGTTTGCCCACAGCCGTATGTACATTAAGCTTACTCGTGTATTGAAGGACGTATGTCACCTTTCCTAATCTGACGCCGCCAACATCTTTGTTGTTCTTGACTCGATCGGAGTGGCTAGCTGTGGGGTAAAAGTAATAAAAGACGGAGCGAGGGCGTAAAATTGACAAAGCGACTAGAGCACAGACCATGTAGCTGGGCAAGTAAGCGGTAGGATGACCCCCGCAATGGGCAACTACATAGTGAAAGTTTAGCATATTTCTAAGAAAAGAATTTGTATTTTGGAAAATTGGGCAATAAAGCGGGTTCGACTGTGTATAAATTTCGACTGTCCGTTTTTACATAATCAATGAGAAGTGAGTTGCTCTGAGTCAGCCAACCAATGAAACATGAGTAATGACATGGTGATGAATCGGCCACGACGACCATTCCCCATTAGAAGAGTCGCGTCAAGCGGGCTGGAATCGATCGACAGGCTTCGAAGGTCTGGGGGACCGGCGAAAATGACTTCGTGGTAGCGGCGATTTGATCTGATATTCACATATAGTTTGTTGAGATTGGCAGGTGGTCCATGGGTGGTGTGCAACCGATGTGTGTGGGCAATTAGGCCGTTTTCCAATCGATAGGTCCCTGAGCCTAGTCGCTTTGTGATCTCCAAATGTGAGGACAGAGCTGGGAGACCTTTAGGCGTAGACCGATTTTTAACGCGAACATATGCTCCAGGCTGCATTGGAGTTAACGATCTGGCGTAGGTATTTTGGTAAAGTGGTATGCCATTGGAAACTTCTGCACGTCCCGCAGATGACAGTTTATGTGAAGCATTTAGTTTGGTGAGTAAGGGCCTTCCTAACATCAACTCCTAAGGCGTTCTTCCGGTAGCCCTGTGATCACAAGTTCGACAAGAAAATACAGCAGTTAAGACAGCATTTGCCAGCCTGTCCCTCCTAATTAGATTGCCCGTATGGCTTCATTGGGAGAGCGACTTAGCCGCTCGACCATGCCATTGGTCGGAGGACAGTAAGGTGCAGTTTTGAAATGTTTTATGTTATGACACTGGTGGAAAATTGCGAAATTGTGGTCACAAAACTGTCCGCGACTATTTCTTCCGGTAGTCCGAAACGACCGAACCAGTATTTAAGCCCACGCATATATATATATATATATATA